AAAACAAGACATTTGAGGACATCCCCTTGGGCCCTGGGAAACAGTGATTGACATTTTTCACAGTTTTTGGACCAAGCAACTTATCGATTGATCAAGAAAATTATCAACAGAATTATTGATCATAAAAATAATCAGTTAGTTTCAGCCCTGAAGACAAATAACTTGGATGTCAATATTTTAGCTTCCTCCATTAAAAAGGTTGATGTCCAGAAACTAGCTCTTACGTCTCAAATATTGCATCAATTGAAAACACAAGGCAGTAGCTGAAATATGTGTAGCTTGCAACGAGATTACCAAATGTTGACCTTGATGACAGATACACAGTCCATCCATGAAGTTGTGATGTTGCAATCACAACAATTAACACAAATTCAACCAATCCCTGGGAATTCTGCGTGTCTAATCTCCACAACTTTACTGTAAATTGGACCAATCATTGTTGAATCATATGTCTTCTAGTTATGAAATTGCAGATCATGTTTGACACATACTCTCACATTTACTCTCCAAACAGTGTGATTTTATTCTCCCCAGAACAAGTTGCCTTAAATGTTTAATGTAATACACAAGAAATAATAATAATTGCTAGAATTGTAGCAAGTTACACTTTCTTCCGCAATGTTTGCAAAACAATTTATTGCAACATGCATTGCAATGTTTTGAGAAAAGCTGCAGTGAAACAAGGATTTTAGGCCACAATAATCCTGCGAAATCCTGGAGGGGCTGAATAAAGGCAGCTAAATCACTGTTTATGGATCTCAAGCAAGTTTCAAGTCTCTGCATGTTGATTTTCATGCTGCACTGAAATGAATGCAAACCCACAGCTGCCAGGAAGATAGGAAATCAATCTAAAAACCGATGCATGTACAAATTTGAGGTTAGTGGGATTAAACATGCAAAACCACTGGTGTGCCCCTTTCAGCCAACTGTCTCTGCTCATTCCCACCATACATTCACTCTTTGTGTACTTGAGTTAACACACAGCTTTCATGCCGCCAGGCTTTTTCAACATTAACCACCAGCACACATGCTTCATGCTTCCACTCCGATGTCTTGGTGTACACCAGACCTTGGCAGCAGCTCTGCTGCTTCATTTAAAGCTCTCTGGCTGACATACCATCGAGTGTAGGTGTGATTGACAAACAGTGGCGCCAACAACAACTGACTGTGTGTCCTTATTCCAGGACCAGCCCTGCAACGCAACTCCCCAAGCATGCAGCTGATGGGAGATGGCAGCGCTTGGTATTTTGTTATTGTGTGTGAGAGTACAGAGAGAATGAGAGAGGAGGAGAATAAGAAGAGAAAGAGGGGATGGGACTGTTAAGAGCAAGAAATAACAGCGTTGCCTGTCTCCTCTTTGTCCCGGCGAAGAAAGGAAATGCGCATTAAGACATATACGTTTTGAACAAAAGAGGACTGATGAAGTCATGGCAGCGCAGTAAAAGGAGAAATAAGAGAGGAATGAATAGCTGGAGGAATGTTGAAATTAAGTCAGAGGAGGGGCAGAGAGGAGGAGGCTAAGTTTCTCCCCTCTTACTCAGCCTCAGCTGATTCCCGGTGAACTCTGGAGGCAGCGAGGTCACAGATGTTTGTGCGCAATAGAGTGCATCATTATTTGCGTGAGTGTGTCGAGCATGTGTGTATGCTGAGGGAATAACAGTCGGTCTCTGATACCCCCGTATACATGCTACCATCTGAGACAAACGAGTAGAGACAGACAGAGAGAGAGAATCAGCTCTGTCCTTGTCTGCCTGTCTCTCTCTCGTCGTCCCTCTCTCATCCCTCCTCACCACTGCCTCTCTTTCTCTTTTGTCTGCAGGTCTCTCAGTTGGAGTTCAGCAAGTCCATCCTACGTGGGCTCAGAGGCAATATGGGTAAGACAGAGAAGAATCAATACCTCTATTTCCACCTCTCTCTCTCTCTCTCTTACCTGCCTCCTCCTCCTCAACACAATACATTTCACTCCCCCGTCCTTGACATTTGTGAGCACTCGCTCCTGTACTCCACTTGGGTTTTGGTAGTTAGTGCCACTCTGCAATGTGAAAGAAAGACATCACAGCACAAATGATGCTTGTTTAAACTCAGAGACGTACCCATTCAGCCCTGTGCCTTTATCTGTACATTGTATTTTGATTTGTCTTCTGTTGTCCCTCTCTCTCTTTCTGGCCCATTAAACACACGAGAAGCTCAATTCTGAATTTCACTCATGCATGACTTGGGCTTCACTGAGGCAATGAGCAATTTAGTCAAACTTCCCTGCATCCCTTCCCTCTTGTCTTGTCCACACGCACACACACACACACACACACACACACACACCGTTGCCATTATCTCTGGTCTCTTTTTTCCTGAGACATGCCGTTCATATCTGTTTAATATCTCTGGGTGTATCAGGCCGGGTTCCCAACCCGGGGCTCTGCAATGCCACAAGGGGTCACGAGCTGAATTCATAGTTCTGCGTTAAGGGGTTGCAGATGGAGTCTAGTACACATCATGGCTGTAGCAGCTACTGAGATACAGTACCACATGGAGATTTTCTCCTGATGCCCATGGCGAATGCTGATTGCAAAGATAATGTTAAGGAAGTTGAAGAAAGACTCAGTTGCCCTTATGTCTGCAAAACTGTGATCACCACTCACAACATCACAATCAATGAACTGACGTAGGAGTTCCCTCGATGTGGCTCCAGTTGGTAGATTCATAGCCCACTGTCTCTTCACAGTATATCACTATTAGTAAATGAAACAATGTAAGAACGACGGGGCCTGGTTCCATTCGATACATCCGCCTATAGCACTGCGGCGTTGCTATTAATGGGTGAAATCCAACAGTGATCTATAAATCAAAACCTGCGGCCATGATATCTGCAGCTGGACTCCACCATTAACAACTTGCAGCAAATAAGAGGACGCAAGATGAGTGCTGGGGTAGGAAAAACATGAAATTGTATCATTTCACCTCTTCAGGCTTCTAAAAACCATTGAAATCAAACGATCTGAGGAGGTAAAATCACTATTTAAATTACCTGCTGGCAACACGTGGACAACCTGTGATGATGGGTCACAAGTATATTATTGCTTTGTGTTATATTAATAATATATACCACTGTATTAGGCCATTGTAGGCAATGTTGAAAATCAATGATCAGGACTGCTTCATGGCATCGATAAGTCAATAAATTAGGCAACTAGTTTGAATTGAATTTAAATTGTATTCATTATTTTTGAAGGAAAAATATCAAACATGCGCTGGTTCGATTCTCAGATATGAGGATTTGGTGCTTCTTTTTTTGACATATATGATTGTAAATTTAGTGTGTTTAGTAGGTTTTGTGGCATCTACTAGTTGCATCTTGAAATGAGTTGCCTTGATTTGTCAGGTAGTTAATTTGCTTGATAAATAAAAAACAAAACCTTCCTGTCTGCTTCTTTAATTAAAAAAAAAAAAACAATCCCACAAAACTGACTTTATCAATATGTCACAGTATAAAATTAAATCCATCACGATGAAGGATTTTTCCATTGTTTTCCATTGTCCTACTCTTAATGTACTGGAGAGCTGGACATGAACAGTGGCATCACAGGAGTTGCTGGGGGGTTTCTCTGAAGCCCGATCTGTTTTGGAAACTCGCTGTAGTCCCCATGTGACGGATGTTTCTTATCCAGTCTCCCTGAATATCAGGGTGAATTCTAAAGGAAGTTTTAATGACTCAGATCCTGTGAAGTGAAACATGGAGGATGATTCATTCCCAGCACTGTCACAGACAGTAGAGCAAACCCAGCAGTTTCTTGTTGTGTAAGTTGACTCCTCTGACAACACTTACTTAAGCTTGACTCAGATATTCAGCGTTCGACTGTTGATTAGTTGATCTTAGACGAGGATATTGTCAATCAGTATCACAGATCTCTGTTCTGTGTATGTGTGCGTGCTGCTGCCTTTGTGAACATCATTTCCAAAGAAAATATCTGCTATCTAGGGGGGAAAGTGCTTGGTTTCTTTGATGAAAACATGTTTTGGTGTTTGGTTGCCCAAAAGCCTGGATCTTCTATATTTTAGTGGGATTTCTCAGGAATATGCATGATGTAGTTTTTTTTTTTTGGAAAAGAGCTCTTCACATTGACTTTCTGCAGGATGACAAGTTCTGATCCTGCGGCTACAGAAAAGTCCATTAAAAACCTCAACTGTTCTGAGTGCTATTAATATTGCAGTCCTCAATTTCTGAATGAGTGATGAGGGAATTGAGGCTGACCCAGATGAGTCTATGAATGAGTGATGATGGGTTGATTGAAAGTCTCCCGCACTGAAGGTGGACAGTCGAGGCAGAGGGAGGCGGTCTTTTTAATCTCTGCTTTCAGGAAGAATCATGGCTTTAACACCTCGCAAACAAAAGAGAGCAAAACTGAATAACTAACACGCCCGTAAGGCAAACACACACAGAAGGTGGCGCTTTGTTTACTGGTGTATAAACACCTGCAAATTCATGCATTAAGATGTTTGTAACACACGTGTGATTGAGCTACGTATCTATGTAAGAAACTGGATATCGTTGGGTTTTGGACTGTTGGTTGATTAGCACAAGACTTTTCAATAAGTGACGGACATTTTTCACTATTTCCTGACATTTAAACAATTTAACAATCAGTAAATTAATCGAGAAGATATCAGTTAATCACAATCATTCAGACTGTTGGTAAGGAGATATAGAAGACTTCGCGTTTCTCATCAATTCTCCAAAAGCTGCTTTATAACAAGTAATTTTATCAGTGGTTGAAAGATTATTTGATACTTTATACATCAGTAATATGCTGTTTTAAAGCACAAATAAAACAAGTGTTTGTGGAGGATTTGTTACCATAAAGCTTACAGTTAAAGTTGCTAGAACGTTATTAATTTTCTTTATTTAAATACATTTAATTCCCCTTTTTTGAAGATAAATAATGTTAAATTTAGCTGAACAACCACACATTGATGTCTGCAGATCAGATTACCTTGTATTATCTATTTATCTTATTTTAATCTTATTTTGATTAATTTAGCAGTAATTTAGTCAATAAAATATCAGAACATAGTGAAATTTACCATTATTATAGTGTTTGAGAGTCTGAGGTAACATTTGTTTTAGTCCAATGATATAGAAACAAAATCTTTGTCCAAAAACAGTTATGTAACCATTATGATGTTGGATTTTAACAGAAAACTAAAAGTCAGGATATTTCGTCCTCTGCAGCTCTGATTTCTTTCTTTTTGAATCTTTCACAACTTTGTGGAAGTGTAGTGCTAAATGGCTGCAGTACCCCTTCAGATAAAATCTAACCAGACAACCTGTGTATGATGCATCTTGTGACCCTGGGTCGGTTTCATTGTTTAATGGTGTATTTAGGGTAAACTCTGCTGTAGAAGAAGAAGAAGCGATACTGATTTTTGCAACAACTTTAACCTCAAGAGATCTCAGAACAGCACAGCTGCAAGATGTGTTGTGCTTTGAATGAATTAGCTTATTTTCTCCACAAGACACTCTGTTGTTTATCTCTCCACCTACATGTAAATTGAACAGCTAACTAATGAAGATCTCTTCTTTGTCTAAAACAGACCTGAGGTAATATTGACTCTTTTAACCAATTATCAAGCCTCTGTGGTTTAATTGCTTTAGATTACAAAGTAGACACAGATTACATGTTTAATATTTGGATAAATAAACCAAATATAAAGTTTTAGTACATGCAAAGGGTGCATCTGTCAAGCTCACATCTCTCTGCTCTGAGGCTAGATGTGTCTTTGACATGATCAGTATGACTGCAGTCAGTTTCGAACATTTCTTGGCGTGAAGGATGCTTATTTTAAGAATGACTTCTGGATATATGGAACCATCTTTTCTGCTTGTAAATTGACTCAAACATGTTAATTTGTGACCTTTTAGAGGAGCTAGTAGGTGGATTTTGTTACCTTTGGTCAGAGCCAGGCTAAGTTTCACTTTTTTCAAGTTGTTATGCTAAGCTAACCGGCTCCTACCTGTATATTTTCTGTTCATATTTACCAGACAGATATGAGAGATATTTACCAAAATGTTAAACTATTCCTTTAAATATGCGATCTAAATATGTCTGCAAGTCTTTTGTTGCTCCGGTTTCTCCTCCGTCTTCACCGCTGTGAGGCTCTCAGGGGGCTTCAGGGTCTGACACTCACACATGGCTTCTGTCTGTCTGTCTGTCTGTCTGTCTGTCACACAGAGAAGGGTGGAAGGTTAGTTAATTTCTCAGCTCCTGTTGCTCTTCTGTTGTTGTTTTTTTAGGAGGTTGTGGGTTTCTCTTCCTCCTCCTCCTCCTCCTCCTCTTCGTCCTCTTTGCCCTTCCATTAACCCGCCCAGCCTTCCCAGCACTGACTGGAGGTGGTTTTACTGGAAGGCTGGCTCTCCTCTCTCCCTGCTGTACGCTCTGCTGTTGCTCACATTTCACTCTGCTGACGGTTTTGTCCTGGACAAGTTTGGAATCACAAACACCCAAAATTATTTTTTCCTGATGTTTATTTAGCGACTGATTGATGGAAGAATCCCTGATTGATATTTTATTGTGGAGTCATCTGAGTCGTGGACGCTGCACTGAAACCAGGACAGACAAAGCAAAGAGAAAGGATGTGTTTAGCCTAGCTTAGCG